TGTGTTTTTTTTGTTATTCCCTCCCCCCCCCCCCCCCCCCCCCCCGCCCCCTCCAGAGAGCCAGCCTTTCGCTGCACTTGTCCCTCTCCTTGATGGAGTTGGGGACCGCCATGCAAAGCTTCGGGTTCCCACGCCTCTCTGGACAATCTTTGACACTGCGAACGTAAACAGATGTTGTGTCGAAACAGGAAGTGGCCTGCTTCTGAGGGCCTGATGCAGCAGAGGTTGTTCGTCTCTGTGACAGAAAACAGCGAGGAGGTCACAGCCCAGCCGGAAAGAGCCGGAGAGTCTCTCCCACGCAAGCGTTTGTGGGGGGTATTTAAGATTGAAAGCTCGATAGAATATTTCCGATCCAACGCTGAAGGTTAATTAGCCGACTTCACCTTGTTGCTCCAGAGGCGTCCTGGAATACAAATCTAAGGCAGGAGGAACCGTTAAAAAGAGGCCAAAAAATAAGTAACTGACTTGGACAAGGAGGAAAAAAAACGGGTGAAAAATCTCAGCCGTGCTCTGTTTAAGTGAAAACAGCAGGACTCAAACAAGCAAAAAATCAGAAAGCAAACAAAATCAAGTGCAGCACAAGAAGAAGCAAAAAAAAAAAAAAAGGTAATTAAATGAACCCAAGATTTTGCATGGTTAAATAACAAATGACATGCATTTCTCTTCTCTGAGTTGAAAAGTCTGTTTCAACTCCAGAACGCAGAGGGTCTCTCCTTTTGATTTATGATGCAGCACTCAGTTGTGCTTGCGCAGCACCGATCTGCGGCAAAACAAGAAGAAACAACTTTAAGAACTAGTTTGTGCTCACTAAGAATCTGCATCATGCACTAGTCTGCAAGTAAACCGGAGTCTGCACAGATACAGGGACAGCTATTTCAAATCTATATCGACATTTTATGAAGCTGCTCACATATTTGTGACTTATAAAATCAGAACACCGAAGGACTTCACCGTCACGCTTTGTATAAGAACTACATATTTTGTCTCATTTACTTGTACTAAATGCTTTTTTTAACGAGTTAATGGTCAATGTATCCAAATATGGGACAACTCTCTTGTTAAGAAAATAAATTTAGAATATGCTAGTTTTAGAACTTAACATGTCTTGATTGAAATAGCCTAATTATAGTTTTCAGATTAATAACTTATTCTGCCCTATTGACCTTTATATTACCTGTAGTTACAGCAGATTGTTTGCTAAGATCTTTTTGAACTGCCCTTTGTCTGTGTGGGAAACAATCAGGAGAAGTTCCAGTGTTCACACTCATCTGTGAAAAGCCATAAAACAGCAGGAGTTCAGGGCAGTAGAGGAGAGTCTCAGCTTCCACTTTGTTTAGAAAAAGGGAACAAATGGCTTTTGATCTTGGAAACAAATTGCAGGGAGTTTCTAACGTTAGAGAGAGGGTCAGAGACAGCTCCTGGCTGGATGAGCAAAGATATGCCTTATTTGAATAAATTAAAAGACAAGAATACGCCTTTACTATAAAATTTGTGCACGTGAGGAACAAACTAGATTTGCTCTTGCAATTCTCCAAAGACGTCTTTACTTTTCTTTCTTTCTTTCTTTCTTTCTTTCTTTCTTTCTTTCTTTCTTTCTTCTTTTCTATTTGTCTCAGGTAAATGAATGTCTGTTTTAGTGAGTTTGAAGTGTCTGTGTTGTTGATGTGATTTTATACTTTTAAATGTTAGAATGAACTCTGAAAATGTATGCTGTGGAGCGTTGACTGTCATCTCTGTGTGGCTTTTGTTTCCACGCATGGAATCATTGAATCCGGGAGCACAAGAGAATATAACGAGCCAGAAGTTTTCATTTTTATTCTCTTAACACTCTCCAACATTAAGATATTAGTTTTTACAAGCTGTAATCTGGTCCTTCGTGTTGCTTTTGGAGTGATGACTTCTTCCTCTGAGTGACCTTTCTGACCTTTGAATACAAGATTAATTTAAGATCCGGTCAGAGGATCTACGAACACTTCTGACTCTGGATAAGCACAGGTGGTAGGCAAACTAATGTTTCAGCTGTCACTACTTTAGCTCAACAAAGTCTGCTTTACCTTGCACTTGAAAAAATATGCAATTGTTTTTTGTTGACTTATGACGTAAATACATTAAAGTTCTTTGTCAGCATGGATGGACAATGTGGATTAAGAGTATATGAAAACACTAAAAACACAACATTTCAACTTTTTTCCCCCACAACTAAAATAACATAATTTATCCACCTGAAATCTGAAACCAGGATCTACTTGCATTTTCCTTTTCCACTGACTCTCCTGCTCCAGCATCGATTTAGGGTTAGGTGAATAATGAGAGAAATAGGATGTGCTGTTGCTCTTATTAGAACGACACACACACATACACACACACACACACTCACACAGCTGAGCCAGAGCAGCACAGCGAGCAGCATTTTGTTTTCCCCATTGTTAACAGATCCCACAAGCCCATGAGGGGATGAAACCGAAGCTCCTTGGGGTTGTTTTTCTTTTTTTTTTTCTTTTAAGAGGGCACTTTCTACAGATCCAAAAACAGCCTCTCCATTAGTGCTTCAGTTCTGGGGCAAATCACAGTGGCGTCGTATGGGTGCACGATGCCAGCTGCACAGAGGAGATAAATTGTCTAAGAGCGGGGTGCTCCGGTTCTGCTGGCTTCTGTCCTGCTGCTGCATGATTACCTGCTGATGTTTGGCTTGCATCCGGTGGACTTACTGACCAGCGAGGGACAATACGTGCACATTTTCTTCATCACACCCAAGAAAGAGAGCCTGTACTTCCCACAGATACGCCACAAGTATGCACCAGGGGAGGGCGTACGAAGATATTCAAGGCTTTCAACAGGCAAATGAACACAGCAAATCCATGAACATCTAAAGGCACTCAAGAGTGTGAGGAGCAAAAAAAAAAAAAAAAAAAAAAAAGCTCTAGTTGAAACCAGACAGCAAAGTGAAAGAAAGAAAGTGATATAAAATATGAATGAAGTGAAATTAAATATTAACTTCATTCTTCTGCTGAACTCTAAGGTTTGGTAAATGCTGTTTCTTTTTGGTGCAGAATCTTTAAAACGTTTTCAAATAGAAGGATTTATGAGTATCCATAAGTGGGCTTAGGCTAAAGGTAAACATTTTTTCATATTGTTAAGCCTTCTTTAAATTTGTGGAATATTTTCACCCCAAAAAAAAAAAGAGACATGCTGCATGTAATTTAGGCCATTGTCAAGGTTTCTACTTGTTTTAGGTGAATGATGCGATAGAATTATTTTTTTCAATGCTACCGTACGACGAGAATTGTTTTAATTATTGATGAATAGACGACACCTTAAAACCAAAAACTGCAAACCAAAATCTGCGTTGCAGTAACATTGCAAAATCAAGAAGTCACTTCTAAAGATTATTGTTCCACCAAGAAAATCAGCCATGGCACATACAAAGTCCAACTAAGGAGGAGAATTACAATAAAAAATGTAATTTGTGTTTTACAGCTGATGTTTCAGTTCCTGTCTAATTAATTGCAATGAATCACCCAGTTTCAGAGATGTCAGGGAGGAAACAAAGACCATTTGAGGTTTCAACATCTTTATTATCTGAGGAAAACTGATTAGTTTTAAAGGACTGTTTCATATAGCTTTGCACAAATGCTGTTTAAGCATTTTACATCCAGTAGATCTTTGGTTGCTAATGTACTAATGCTATGGTGAATTAGATGTAGCACTGTCAGCTATCATGCTAGCACGAACCAACATAATAATGATACTCTTTATGCTAATCATTTTAACTAACTTGAGCTTTTACATTGTTTTTTTTTCATACTGCATGCAGTATGTTTTTGTAGTCACCTTGCTAGTGCTAGCCTAGATGCTATACTTAGCATTTTAGCTTGTTTAAGGTTTTTATTTAGTTTTCGCTTTTACATGGAGTTTTTTCACAGTAGGTCAATCTGCTAGCCTTGGTGTTAGCATTGCATTTTAGCTAGCTTTGGGTTTTTAGCTAATTTTAGCATTTACATGGATTTTTTCACTCTGCATGGATTATGTGACTGTAGGTCAACATGCAAGTGCTAGCCTACATGTGATCATTGGTATTTTAGCTAGTTTTAGCTAATTAGCTTATTTTCCCTTATAAACCGCTGTGACCTTAGAATTTAGGCTTTGTAAGCATTGTTCTGCACCAATTTCCAATACTAGTTGGGTGGGATCTTTGGATTTTCACCAATAACATTCAACGTACATCAGCTGCATTTTCACAAGAAATGCACATTTTCTAGTTTTATTTACAGCACAAGCATTTATTCATTTATTATTTTGTTTCTGGAGCTACTTACATAAAATGCTGAATACCTTCCAAGTGCTGACAGCTTGCCATTGGTGTAAGACCAACAATACATATGTAAATTAATATTTTTTTATTATTTGATTGATGTAGGATGCACATTGATGCGATGCTTTTGCATCATGCTATATTCTTTCTAACGACCCAAATGGTTTACTGAATGATAAAGAGATTTTAGAAATGAGATTTCCCTTTCTGTCTTGAACTTCACACCTTTGCTACCTCTACAGATAAAGACGCTCCTCTTTACAAATGTCTTTCATGTAATGTGAAGCTTTCAGATGTGGTTTTCTTCATCCCACAAACAGCGATGCTCTGTGCACGTCACCTGGAACAGCAACTTGAATCCGAGTGTGATCCAGTGTCCTTGATTGTACCAAATTACAATAAAGGTTTTCCCTCTATTCCCACATTAAAAGGATTGACATTGGTGTCAATAATGGACTCCATCAGGACTCTCAGACCGACTGGCTGCTAAGCTCATTACACCACTTCCAATATGCGTCAATTAAAGCCCACATTGTAAGTGGGACACGGAAAGTAGATGTTACACATTAGCATTCGGTGACTAAATGTTGTTTTCTGACATCTCCTGAAATTGCAGTTTTTGACATTCAGAGAGGGAAATGTTACATTCTGACTTTTTTCTTTTTCAGCATGAATAACATTTTGAATAACTCTGTTCGGGTCTTTCACGTTCCCCCCCCCCCAACAACGTTTTCATCTATTTTACTACAAATCTCATGTAAATCTATTTTTTATTGGCACAAGCGCTTTAAAAATCACAGCACCCTGGAAAAATGATGATTCAAAAATCTATGAATTTTGAATAAATTAAGTTTGTTACCATGGAAATATTGTTCTAATAAACCAAGTGGAGCAAATATTGTTCCAGCCTTTGGAACTAAATATAAATGTGTGCTAAAAATATACAGTATCTATGCAATCATTTCACAAACAAACCGTACCAAGTAAATTCATACAAGAAATTTTCAGCTAACTTGTAATGCTCATGATCTAATGTAAAGTGGTCCTGTGTTGAGCCAAACTGTCTCTGATTTTGTCCAACAACTGGCCTTCAGAGACAGTTTCATATGTCCAACCTGTGTGCTTGTTTTGTTGAAAATCAGGCTGTTCTCTTGCTCATTGTGTGCCATGCTCCAGCAGTAAAGAGGGGCAATTTGTGTTGTAACCATGCCTTTTATATGAGTTATTGATTCTGGAGTGTACTTCTGGTCGTTTGTTTGGGATCTTGCTTGTTTTCAAGTTAACAAGAGCTGGTTGATTCTTCTACTCATTTCAGTTCAGTCACAAAATTATCTTGGGTGCAACTCAGAGAAGACAAACAAGCACTGCATTAACCTGTGCAAAACCAATTCAGATCAATCCCATTTATTATTCATAGGTGAATAGATACTGCGATGGACTGGCAACCTGTCCAGAGTGTAGCCTGCCGCGCACCCGTTGACCACTGCAGGTAGACACCAGACCCCTGGAAATAAATATGTTAAATAATGGATAGATGGGTGGAGGTCGATGAATAAAACAAATCCCCAAAACTGGGATGTAAAATTCTTGCAGCTCATAAAAACATGTCTGTGCTAGCTACGGGAGCATCTTGAATTTTCACTTCCTTCCAGTTCAAGCCAAAATAAAGAAAACTTATTCCATGTTCCTCATCACGTTTTGAGAACTTCTAACTTAGTCATTTGTTAATAATCTGAATGCTATTGAAACGTTAATTTACTCAATTCACCACATGGAACACATTTTATAGATAAATTAAATACAGACAGATGTTCTCAAGCCAGTATCTTGTTAATGATGATGATTTTTCATTGCCATACTACAGTCAGACTGCAGTTCTGAAACAGGGCAGAAACTTGACGTCGTTCAAAACTTCTTCTCCTTCTGTTCACTGATTGGCCCAGTTGAAATTCTAACAGAGAAATCCCCTTCTATGGGAGAAAGCCCAGATGGAGCACTGAGGGGAGATGAGGATCAAGAGCAACAGAGTAAAAAGACAAAGGCCAGGCAACACCTAACACTAACTGTAGTGAATCTTATTACTATAAAATTAAACTGTTCAAGGACTCTCGTGACGTTTGTGCTTTTAGATAAAGAAAAATTAAATGAAGATCAATATGACAATTACACAAAGGTGTCACTCAGGTGAAAAGTGTGTTTTTTTTTCAGTTTTATTTGTAAACCACTGCAAAGAAAAGGCATTCATCAGCACTTGGCCTGATGCTGACATGTGCCATGAGTTTGACACGTAGCGTAAATTATCACAAAAATATCATGTTACTAAAAACAATATATGTCACACACCTTTGCATTAAACACATGCTAACTCTGTTAAGATTCCAAGTTACTCTATCAATTTTTCCAACTATAAATCTGGACATTTTGACTTCTGAGTACATAGAAGGCATAATTAAAGTAATGTCCATCAAGCAACCATCCAGCACCTAAAGATAAGAATCTTGTTTTGTTTGTTTGTTTACTAATGTAAAAAAAAAAAAAAAAAAAAAAAAAAAAAAAAATGTCTTGTTTGACAAAAACTTTTGCCTTTCTGAGAAGAGAGAAAAGTTTCCTCCATTGTCTTTAAAGGAAGGATGTGAGTTGCCAGAATAGCCTCTGGTCATGGTTGTACCTGACAAAGGAACAGAGGATGGTAAACCCCCCCGCTGATCGGATCGAGTTACTAAATTGCCACTATAAGTCAGAACTGCAGCACTCTATCTCTGCTTTTTCTGACTTCAGTCCTTCTTGCAACATCCATCCATTTCTCCCACTCAAAGCTGCCAGAACTGATCTCTCCTCTGACAGCCCTGTTGTCTCACGTGCAAAGACTTATGTAAGTGCAAAAGAAATCAGTTCAAAACAAATGTTGCTCCTCTTTCCTGCCTCATAATCCTCACAAACACATTGCTCCATCATTACGTGATAATTACAACCGTCGCAGCGTTTTCATCACCTTATCTTTAAAAAGTCTGTGTCTCTGCAGCAGTGTTGCGCGTTTGCACACCGACATCAAAAGTCACAGAGCAAAAACACGTTTGGAGCATTTGAAACGAATCCCTAAGGGGCTTGCACAGGCGGCGGGGAAGCGAGGACAGAGGCAGAACTACGAGAAACACCTCCCCTTGCTGGTGAGAAAAGGGTTAAGCCTATTACTGCAGACCAATCAGGACTGGGGGAGCACTGCAAACCTCCGCAGTAAGAGAGAGAGAGAGAGGAAGAGAGAGGGGGAGCAAAGATGTGAGGGAGGAAGAGGAGAGAGTGGGAGATGCAGAGATACCGGGAGTGTGATGGTTTGCACTCTAATCCAGAGGAAGCGTAACAGAGTTAGTTTGATGTAGATTATTCACACAGTCTAAGCTGGTGACAAAAATGAAGACAAGAGGAAGAAACAGAAATGTCACATTTATCCATGAAGGACAACTCTTTGCTGGACTTCTTCTAAATGAAGAAAACACTGAAGACTCTTGGCTGCTCAAAGAAAACCAGGTGTGATTCCTTTAGTGCTCCCTGAAATCAACCAGAATCATCAGCAGTCGACCTGCAGCTGTTTTGCAGCGATGGGAGGAGAGGATACGGTGTGGTGACCGGAGCGGCTCTGGAGCCTCTGTTTACTCCACATGGTGAGCTTTGCTGTGCTTTGATAGGACACTGCACACTTGTAGGCTTGATTTAAAGTCAGACTGTAAATAATGCGGGCACGACGGCAGACGAAGCCCTAAGTGCACGGTCTTGGGTCCGGCACATTCTCAGTTGCACTGTATTTCATGAACAATGACTCAAGCTAAAGGTTTTTGGCATCTTTACTTAGAAGTTTGCATGTGTGTGCATCTTGTAGTGCACATGCACTCTGTGAAGCAAGAACTTCAACTGTGTGAAGTGTGTGCAATCACATCTTCATGGTACAGAGGCATCACTCACACCAAACATTTCCCCCCGATGTTTTAGTGCGATTGACTTAAGTGAAGGAATCTCCTACGGCCGGAACAACCTTGAAAAGGGGACGAGACGTTTCTTTGAGGAGATTACATGGATAACAAGGAGCTACACACAAAGTAATCGCGTCTTTGTGACAGACTCCCCAAAGGGATCACTCTGTACTAAAGCTTCAAGGCAGCCAGTCTGGTCATGAAAACTGAATGACCATTTCATCAGCGCTGTGGCTTTATAAATAGCAAAATGTCTGCCAATAAAGATGCATTGGTACAACAATGGCGTGAAGTCCATGTGGAACTCGATGAAAGATCAGAGGCTGCGTTCTTTGTCATTAGGAATTTCCTTGTTGCTTCTTTGCTGAGAATATGTTTCGCTCACACATCCCCCCCTCCCCCACCTTCTCCCTCTGCTGTTTCTCACTCCCCCATCTCACTCCCTCTGTCACTTACTCTCCTTTTTTTCCTCCTTTCTCACTTCAGGTTACTGTAATCCAGAGACATACAAATGAAGGATATACAGATGACATCCTGCCCCGCGATTTCAAATTGATGTCAGCGATTGCTGCTCTCCGGCTGAAGAAGCGACTTCCATTGCTTCATGATAATGACCTTCTCGTAGACTGCTGAATCCAGCCACAATGCGTCCACTTACCGGCGATCCCATGTGTCATGGTAATTGGACATCCATGTGGCGGCAAAGTCTCCGATGATTTAGGGCGCTGCCTGTCGAGGGGAAAACTGGAGGCCTGAGCGCAGTTCACAAGTCAACGTTGGCTGGAGCCAGAAGACCAAAGACTGGTGTGAAGGCTGGAGAGTGAAGGCCTCTTCCATTAGCGTTCCCCGGGGAGGCAAAGGCCTCGACATCGTCTGGATGTACTGACCTATTCCTGGCACACTCTGAGCACCACCTTGCTGCATACTGGGGAACAAACAACACACCGACAGCTCTTTCCTTTTGGAGTTTATCCCAACGTTTGGAAGCAGTTTACCACATTTAAAGTTTACCGTAAGACACGTAATGTTAACCGTAAGCCGGAATAAAAACAGAGAAGGAAAAAAACATCTGGGTGCTTTGTGAGTTACATATTCCAGTACTGTGCTAAAGAAGACTTTTTTAAAAAGTGTTTTCTTGGTTGGCTTGAATCGCTTCAAATTGGGAATATAATATTTTAAACAGAGGAATCCTCTGACATCTTACACTTTTTTTTCCCCAACTGATTTGTCAATGCTGACATCTTCCTCAAAGCAAGCCTTCACTGACGATAGCTCTTGCTTTTTGGCCGTGGAGCTCGGGCGAAAAAAGCCAGGATTTTTGGCGAGACACTCAGGTGCTTTTGTGCACCTCTGGGATGGAGTGAAAGGAAAAGCCTTACTGGGGGGGCTCTGCTAGAGCGGAAACGTTTCCACCGGCTATGTTTGGATGCGATGCGTCTCTCTGTGGATCCAGCATGGACTGCCTGCTCTGACTACACAGTCCTGGTGTTCAGATAGTTCTGGAGTGAAAGGTAATTAAAGCTGCCTTTGCTTTGTTTTTGTGTTACCTTGAATAATGTTGGGGAAGAATATTAACTGTGTGTATGCAAAGCAGTTGTTGCAGTGTCTGCAGAGCCGCTCTTGAGGCTTTTGTGATTACATAAAATCAAGACCTTCTCTTGAAACGACTGAGGTCTTTGGTACGTTTATTTAAAAGAAACACATTTCAATTTCTATTTTTGAGACTCGGAGACATGGAGGCATGTTTAGTCAGAGTGGAGCTATGTTTTTGTTTTTTTTTATAAATCACTGAATATTTGTCAGTAATAAAAAGTGAAATCTATAACCAAATCACACGTAGCTATTTAAGCAATAAGAAGCATTCACGTAAGATGTTTTGTTTTAACGGTATACAGTCTAAAGATGCACCAAGTGTATTTCTGAGCTGTGATCAGCCAGCCGGAAACTCAAAAATCTGATGCATACTTTAGGGACTGGACACAGAGACGGGTATTTACAGTTACTAAATAGGATTACAAAAGCTCTACTGCGAATAGGATGCAGGGGCAGCTTTAAATGGCTAATTCGTAATCATTTTGTCTTTAAACAATAACATCCACTTCTAAAGCGATACCTCTCCAGCACACTCAGTGCTTAAGGTACTCGACTAAAGACTGCTCTTACCAGGTGGGCTCGTAAAACCTATTTTGAAGGTAGTTGCTTCTGATTTTTAAAGTCCAATCAAAATCTCCTGAAAATGTTTATTAGCACAATAAAAGTCGCAAATGGGCCACTAAAGTCTGAACGACGCATCTCTATAATGCATTACCGGTAATACATATGGTAAGAAAGCAACTGGCAAGGCAGGTCAGGACGTTGAGCTAAGACTTATCCTTAGTGTGTTGTTTTTTTACAATGACATCAATAACTCTAGCATTAAATGTGATGTTTTTTACTGTCTAGAAATGAACAAATACAGCATCTACTCTATAAAGTTATTTCTTCTTCTACCTAACTTGCAGGATAATGCATATTTTTCCCTGCCGACAAAAAGAAGCCACCATGAGCAACGTCACAGTCACCGACAACACTGAGCCCATCAGCAGTGCCATGAGTCCGGCGGCCCCCGACCCGTACCCTTACCCCGTTAGCTTTCAAATCTCCCTGACGGGCTTCCTGATGCTGGAAATACTGCTGGGTCTGAGCTCCAACCTCACAGTGCTTGCACTTTACTGTATGAAGTCCAACCTCATTAGTTCCGTCAGCAACATCGTCACCATGAACCTTCATGTTCTGGACGTGCTGATCTGTGTGTGCTGTATCCCTTTAACAATTGTGGTGGTGCTTCTCTCCCTGGAAAGAGACATGGCCCTCGTCTGCTGTTTCCACGAGGCCTGCGTCTCCTTCGCAAGCGTCGCCACTGCTGCTAACGTGCTCGCCATCACCCTGGATCGCTATGACATCTCTGTGAAACCGGCCAACAGGGTTCTGACCATGGGTCGTGCGCTAGCACTGCTGGCTTCGATTTGGGTACTGTCCTTTGCTAGTTTTCTTGTTCCCTTTATCGAAGTGGGCTTCTTCGCTCACGACCACGCTGAGCTGAACCAGACGGTGGTGGAGAACGGGGCCCTCAGCAACGAGTACTACACCGAACCTGGCCTGTATTATCACTTGCTCGCTCAGATCCCTATTTTCTTCTTTACGGCAATTGTAATGCTAATCACCTACTCGAAGATCCTACAGGCACTCAACATTCGCATCGGCACACGTTTCCACGCGTCACAGAAGAAAAAGGCTCGCAGGAAAAAGCGCCCGTCCATGACGGCCATGTCAACGCAACAGGAGGCCACAGACGCGTCCCAGAGCAGCACCAGCCGCAATCCCACGCTGGGCATGCGGACGTCCGTCTCCGTCATCATCGCCCTGCGGCGGGCCGTGAAGCGCCACAGAGAGAGGCGAGAACGCCAAAAAAGGGTCTTCAGGATGTCCCTGCTGATCGTGTCCACCTTCCTGCTGTGCTGGACGCCGATCACGGTTCTCAACACGGTCATCCTGAGTGTGGGTCCCAGCAACCTCATGGTGCGGTTGAGACTCGGCTTCCTAGTGATGGCGTACGGGACCACCATCTTTCACCCGCTGCTCTATGCCTTTACGAGGCAGAAGTTCCAGAAGGTCCTGAAAAGCAAGATGAAAAAGCGCGTGGTGTCGATCATCGAGGCCGATCCCACGCCCAACAACGCGATCATTCACAACTCCTGGATCGACCCAAAGAGGAACAAAAAGGTGACGTTCGAGGACAAAGACGCGCAGCTGAAATGTCTTTCTTCTGAAGATGTGGAGTGAAGAAGCTCATCACATTAAGGTGAAACGCAGCCAAAGCAGCTGAAAGTAACTTCAAGCCATCATGAAAAGGGAAAATTGTATTCCAAAGCAGTAATGTAAAATACGATGTGCAATATGATGTACAAATGTAGAAGGTGGATAATTTATTACTATTTATTGAGAATTGAGATAAGTTTCATAGATGTATTATTGTACTGTAGATATTGCATGGCCTTTTGTAACAGCAGCAGCAACACATTATGTACATACAGTTACATGTACAGAACAGGTTAAACGAGATATTTAAATAGAGAGAGACGTAGGAATTGTTATGTAAACGTATATTTATAATAAATTTTGTGCTCACATCCAGTGCAGCTTCCTATTCTCCGCTCCCTCAGGAAAGATGTTTGCGAATCGGTAACAGCTGTGAGATTACACACATTTATCTTGTTGCCACTTTTCTTTGACACCAGTCCCGGCAGTCTCCAGCGACCGCTAACCTTATTGCTCGGGAGCGTTTGAGAAGAAGGCCCTTATACTGCAATTTGATAATAAATACAAGGCAGCAAACAAAGACAGGTCACATGCAGTGCAGGTGAGAAGCGTACATACATCAACAGGCATGAATATGTTCAAGATACAAAACGTGGTGAAATGATGACGCAACAAACAACTTCAAGGATTTCTAAAGACTAGATTTTGGGAGTACATGTTTGAATTTATAGGAGACTTTCTGTCATCCAGAAAAATGATGTACTGAGGGGGGAAAAATCCTCTACTGTAGTTTTGTGTGTGGAATTGTATTTTTGCAAGTTTTAGAAAAAACAAATGCTTCTTAAAGCTATGAGATTCAATTCTTGATTTATCAGCATTGAAAGGCCTCATTTAAATGGGTTGCTTTCCAGGAACGGAGTTGTATTTTATTTTATTTTTTAGAGAAGTCTGGGTAATTTTCAAAGCTTTAATGTTTGCCTGTTTTTGTTCCCATTCCAACACCAGTTTTAAAATGTAACCATTATTCTTTTGGACCACCGTCTTGTGTCCAAGGTTCAACCCTTTGGCCCTAATTGGCGCCACGGCTCGACGTTATTGTAAACAGGAAGTTGCTGGAACAACTGTCCCTCTGTCCACCATGAGGACAGTTTCATTTCAACATTGACTGAGAGAGTGCTGACCAAGACAAAAGCTTCTGCTCTAAAATTAGCACCTTTAAGCTTGGATCAAATGTACAGCTGCCAGCGCAGGCTGTCCCTGCGCCCTCTGTAAAACTGAATGTAATGAAATGAGACAAAGATTAAGCTATTTGGCTGCAGTGACAGGCACTTTCTTTAGGGTCAAGGTTGAGGCTTTCAAAACCTGAGAACACTGTGCAACCTGCCAAGGATAGCGGCTGTAGCATTATGTCTGATGTCTGTTTTGCAGCGCAAAATGGATGCTGTAAGAAAAATTCTTCACCTTCCCCTCAAATTAACACCTGGACGGTTGAAAATTTAGACACAAACTTGGAACAACAATCGCAGTTTCACAGTAAAACTGGTTTTGGAATGAATGAAGCTTTTTGTTGAAATAGTCGCTTCCTTTAACCCTTTGAAAACATGTGGACTGCACTTAAAAAGCTGGGTTTATGCCAGGATGACGACACATATGAATGAGCTCTTCCTGTTCTACTAAGAGCCCTGGCCAAATATCGTGAATTATCCCAAAGCTTTTGCTTATTGTGACAAGAGGTCTGTGCTTTTTCCACAATTTCCTAAAGAGAACTTAACTAAATACAAGTGAAGGTGAACCCATATATTTTAACCTCAATGTATAATTTGACCTGTTGGAGAAGAGGTGATGTATAATAATTTAAATTTGGTGCAACCTGTTTACTTTCTAAAAGTCAAAGAAGCAGCGAAAAATAAAGAATGGTTCAAGCAAGTCAATAAAAGCCCTCAATTAGTTAGGCTTTCATGCGCATGACGAGTACATGAGTACTGTACACAGAGGAGAGTAGGGGATGTTGGTTTTGAAATAAAAGAAGAAAAAACATGCTCAGGAAGTACTGTTTACAGTTCACCAATCGCACACACATTCCACAGACACAACAGAGCGCCATGCTTCTCGTCATCCTGGCTGACATAAACCAGATGTAATCTCGTTCTGGTCTGCCTCTTCTTTATTTATTTTTTTTTCTGCTGCCATTGATTTTTTTGTCACTGAAAAAGCTATCATAGCCTAATTTTAAGATGATGAATCGAGTGTAACACGAGGTAGAGGAGAGACCGTGACGGTTTAAATTAAAACAAAGATTTCAAAGAGAATTTAAAAAATGTTTATTACTCGCCTTCTGCTGTAATAAAGTACTTTGCTGCCCGTATGTGGCTAATAATGCATGTTTTTTATCACATGTCAACGAAGGAGGCAGCAGAGTTGTTCTCCCCGAGTTATTGCAGCTTTGTATTTTGGTCTTAGTGACAGGCTCGCCCTAAATAGGCGGAAATATTCTATTTGTACAGCTGCAGAAGAGTTTCAGAAGAGAAAAAAAAGAAACTGTGTGCTTTAACAGTAAATCTAGATGCAGGGTTTCATACAATTTCTCATTTTTTGGTTATCACATGAATATGATAGGCATCATAGTCCTCAGGTCAAGAATCATTTTCTTTGTGAAGTCCATATAGAATTCTCATGCATACAAAAAAAAAAAAAGCTACCCACAATGCACGCTGCCTCCGCTCTTCATCTCCTTAATGAACCTATTACATGTGCACCTTTGCTGTCTCACATATGGCAGAAAATCGAGGAGCCTTTTTCAATCCACAAAGCACGAAGCTGTTGGCTACCAGACTGATTGTACAGCCTCAATCAAATGCGTGTCTGGCTGTCAGTGTCTGGTTAGTGGCACGGCGGAGAAAATTGATGTGGGAATATTGAGGCAGGCAAGGGATCCTTATGGGCCCGCTTTAAAGCGGCAGCCAGGATGCCACGGTGCCTTAAGGGCACATCTGATCGAGAGAGAAGATGGGATCAGAGCCAGCAACAGATTAGCCGGCAGAAGGGGGAAACTGACCTATAAAGATGAATATTTATACAGCACCGATGATATTTTAGATCGTAGCGTCGACAGCGGAGGGTTGCAACTAGCAGCTTTTGAATTCTGCAACATTGCTCTCTAACCGGGGCGGGATGCCCCAGAGGTAGCCTCTAAAAAAAGGGGCGCCATCTGCCGCAGGCGTCAATTCAAACCCACCTGGGGGACGTTTCACAGCTACTCTGACAACCAACGTTTTCAACTCATTTTCTAAAATGTGACTCCAGTAAATAATACCAACCAACAGGAAGTCATTTCAAGTGATTCTGGTTCGGTGCAGAGTAGTAGTGATATTTCAGGAGAGCTACGAGGGACGTGACGGGATCGAAACCTAAATATTGTATCATGAAACATTATTGGACAGTAATGTGGAATTTGGTTAAATTATATTTCATTTATAAATTAGCTGCTTAACAATAAAGCAATATACACAATGAAATTGATTATGGGTAAGCAATGCAAGTATAATGTGATTAAACTGCACACCACAGGGGCAAAATGCAGGTACAAATTACAATTAATTAATCCTGTGATCTGTTGCTGAATATTATTAAATAAATTCACTGTAAAGTCTAAATTATATTTAATTACTGCCAACTGCATCGCCCTCAGGAGTAAATAAATTAGAGCTCTTCTCAAATGCTAGGCACTATTAAGCTTTGCTATTATCATCTTACAAAAAATATCTGCTAAAAATGAATCTGTAGTTAATTAACGGCTGCTTGACTTTGAGCTCTAGATGGCACAACGTAGACAAAAACACTATTATATTGAATTCATTTAAAGCTTTCTTCGTCCAGGCAGTGTGTCTCATCCATCGCTTTATGGTCACTCCTTCAAGAAGTGATAAAATACCGTTGTTTGCTCTTGCAATGATCTTCAGAAATGAAATTGAACTTGAAAAATGTTACTAACAGCAAATTTGAGCATATTGTCTTCCAAACATTAGGACGATTTTATAAAAGATTGTTGAGGACGTTAGTATCTCATTGTGTCTGTATAGGTCTCGCCAGCCGAATGCAGAAACTCCACAGACTCGGAATGACGTCTTGAAGTTTTTACTGACATCAATTTTCTGTGAAACTGTAACAGAATATCAAAGAAATACACACAAGTATTGTTGCTGTAGCAACAACGTCAAAATCACTACATACATACATAGACTAGTGGTCCGAGTTAGCTTAGCATCAGGTCGAATTTACTTCTAACAGAAAAATACATGATTTCTCTACAAATGAAGATGTCTGCGATAACTGTTCTCATATGTAACTAATTCAACTTATAATACTTACAGATGATGCTTTAGCAAGCAAGAAAACAACGTAAGCAGGACTGAGGAACTGCCATGCGGCTGAAACTGTGCTGTACTTCCTGTTTTCTACTTTCCCTACTGCTTTTTGACAACTACCAAGAATGACCACTAGATGGCATTGTTTAGCACAAATAAGATAACAACAAAACGGTGAACATAACAATGTCTTTTTTTTAAAAAAATCCGGTTTCCATGAGTGTCTCCACTTCCACTGTCTGTTTTTTGGCAGTCAGACGGTTCAGGCTTTGGATCCACTGACTTTGAGGACAAGTTGCAAAAATAAACAAACGGCATGAAGCAAAATCATGTATTTTAAACCACAACAGACGGGTACATGGATGATTTACAATTTGAGATAGTGCAGCCCAAGAAATCTTGTCCAAAGAATTTTATTTACAGACTTTCTCAATTTTAACAGAGCTTTGGCTCCGGCAAAGCCCACTGCCGTTCAGACATGGGCTGCATTAAAGTAATAAATCAAAAGAAGAAAAAGGGCAGACGTTCAGTCAGGCTTGAATAACTATTTTACATTTTTTTTACAGCTTCACTCAGACTTCCCCACTGAAGTGGTGGAGAGAGTAATAGCAGGAGTGGGAAATTAGCTATTCACATAAAACTGCAAAGTGCAACAATAAGGTGAATATAAATTGATTTTGTATAAAATGTTGCAGCAACAATAATTATTTAATAGTTGGAAATTATAGATGACATTTCCAAACTGCAACCAAGGAAAGCTAGTAATGCTCACTGGATGAAAAAGGAATGAGTTTGCAGGTAAAATTAACCAACAATATCTCACCTCAGTGCAAACACTGACCTTATGCTTTCAGGTTATGTTTTTTGGTGTCTTCTATTTTTAGTTTTGCCCTTTTGAATTCCTCTTGGTAGTTGTAAGCAGTGCATTTGCATTTGAACTACAGTGTTTCAACCAGACTAGGTTCATAATGTAAAACAACATTGTGGCTTATAGCATATTGATGATGATTATTTTTACAAATTGTCTTCATTCATGTGACAAATAATCCTCCCCATTTGCAAATTCTGGAAGCCCTGGAAAAATAATTATTATAATAAAATAAAAACAACATAATATTATTATTATTATTATTATTATTATTATTATTATTATTATTATTATTATTATTATTATTATTATTATTATCATTATTGGGATGAGTTTTCATTGTCTGTCTTTTTTTTTTGCCCACTAAACTATTAACAGGAAATGTTTTTATTTTTAGAATAAATCAACAAATCCTAGACGAAAATTATTTTTCATATGAAGTATTTTTTTCCCTGAAAAGATAGCAAAAAAAAAGAAAAAAGAAAAATGCAATTTACAAACCTGATACTTTCTTAAATTTAGATTTAGATTTTTACCTGTAAATCTAAAATCAATAAAACACAAAAAAAAAAATCTTATGAGCAACTGGGTAAAGCAGAATGAAGTTATTCTCCTTCAACATGTTTAAATAGATGTTAGCAACCAGTAACTGCAACACACTCTCTATCATATTGCATTTATCACATTAAAAACATTGTTAATGTTTTATGTAAATTACCACAAAATAAAAAATAAAAGAAACAATAGTTACTAATAATGTGTTTGGAGTAGACTGAAGAAGAGTTTATAACATTATATAATATAAACAATTTAGGTTACATAATTAGTATTAGTATCAGACAAACTGTGAAGGTGACATCTGATTAATAATAATAAACAGTTATGCAATAATTCTGATAATTATAGCAATTTTTCCAAAGCCTTGTCATTCTTTTATGCTGAGCTTGCAGTGAATCAGCAAGTCATATTGTTTCTGGAAGTTATTTATGATCATCGTTTAAGATATAGGTGTAATTTTAGGGAAATGTGTAAAGTTTTTCTTCAAGAGCGTATTTGTAGTTATTTACTCCACTGTCATGAACACGTTTCTGTTTTATATACCAAGGTCCACAAGTGTTAAGTCAGCCTCTTTCCTGAATACCACCTGAAAATATCATCTGGTGTATTTTTAAAGGGTTGATCTTGTAAAATATCCAAAGGGCTTACGGGCGCGTCATAACATGTTGTGATTAAAGCAAGGCGGTGACCTGTGAGTAAATTTTGCCTTGGCCTCGTTGTCATCTTTAAATATAACTTCATTTTAAAGCCACAGTACATTAAGCAATTTGATCACTGGAGGCAGAAACAACAAAGCAATTGTTCCCCCTTGATTATGCTCTATTTAGCATGAACAAGATGTACACATTGTGTAGAATAATCTCATTTATTCACTTTCTGATTGGGGATATTTCACAAGTTATTAATGAGCCAAATCTGAACCGAGTGGTCAATTAGAGAAAATCTCTTGCATTATTAGGAGAAATAAATTTAGGGTCAACAAAAAAAAAAAAGGATTTAACAGAGCAAACAGGTAAGAGCAGGTGGCAAATCATTTAACCCTAATTGATGCAGTGAGTAGCTTCTCGTTTCTTAAACAACCACATCAAAAGGCATCGTGTGGTTGCATTATTCTGTTTCAGAAGAGTCAAATTATTGGCATTCATTTGTCAAAAAAGCATCGAATGCTAAATCTACTAAAGTCTGGTTCAGAACAGTGCAAAATATTATTAGAAAGTGAAAGAATAGTGGGAAACCATATTTGATTTTTTAAGCCCTCATGAACACAGGTTACCAAAATGTCTTGCTAAATTTAATTGTAGAAAAAAACAACAGCAGCAGAGCTCGTGGCTGTGTCCAGCAGTAGAAGTAGGAGCGTCTTCCACTGCACAGAAAGAGGAAAGATCAAGAGGTTTGGATTTGACAGCTGTGTAGCCATAAGAAAAAAGAAAAAAAAACATTTTATCCATGTGACTAATTAGAAGAAAGACTTTCGCTTACACAGGAAGCACAGAACTTGAGCTTCAGAGCAAAAGAAGAAGGTCTGATCATTTCAGATTTCCCCTATTCACAGTGAAGTACAGTGGTGGCAGTATCATGCTGTAGGCCTGTGCATGAAGCAGGGGAGTAATGAAGGGAGAAGAATGCCACCAAAATCTCCTACTTTATCTTAAATCAATACTAATTGGGTGCTCCAAGAAGAAACGATCCCAAACACAGAAAACACAGATGAATCAGGCTAACGTTGAGCTTCAGGATCTACACTGACTTCAAGCTTATTGAACATTTATTTTAGGTAACGTGTTTAAAAGTTGTGTCAGTGACCAGCTCATGTCAACTATTTTGGAAGAAGAGAATTATGCCACATGCTTCTTTAAGGACACAAAAGCCAAGAGGTTCTGCCGCAAATCGGTACATCCACTCACTCCAAACACTAGAGTGAGTGGATGCTTACATGTCGGCTTGTATGTATGGAAGAGCCAAAATAAAACTTTTGAACCTAATCTTTGGTAATGCAGTTAATGGAATAACTATGCCGTGCCTGAAAAAATGACCTTAAATCCTTTAAGGCCCTGAATTAGTCTGATATGCCTACCTGTATATGTAACAGGCCAGTGCATTGTGTCAGTATAACAAGCTTTAGAGAGATTTATTAGAGCCACTAGATCCTTTCACTGAAGCCTCTTCCCATGTTCAAGTGGGCCCTTTTCTTTCCCCCGGTCCTTCTGCAGTGCAGTCCACATCAAGGCTGCCGCTCTCTTCTGTCCGTATCACATGCATCATGTCCTTCTATCTCCCGGTCAATGGCTACCTTTTCTCAGACGGCCGGCCCCGATTCAGATGCCATCTCTTCGGGGCCACTCTCTATCTCACCGCAGACACAGAATAAAACCCAGGGAAATCACATTACTCTGTTCGTATGGAGCCTCTATTGCATTAGGTCAGCGAACACTCAACTGTAATTCTGCTACTGTAGAGAAACAGAAAGTGAATTGAACACACTGGGCCGGCGCGGCTTGACAAATTGTTGCTTGTGGTCATTTTCCAAATGTTACTCTCTCTCTCTCTCTCTCTCTCTCTCTCTCTCTCTCTCTCTCTCTCTCTCTCCGAGCCGCATCCAGAGAGACGGAAGCACATTTTACAGAGTCGGAAGATATACAACGTTGATAAAGGCAAACCTGTGATCTGCGGGCAAGAAAAGCCTTTTCAGAGGCAGAAACCAGGAATGGCAGACAACCAGACAATGGAGCCTGTCCTCTACCAGCAACGACCTCTGTGGCGTTAGCGTGAGGCTAAGTGTGCTATCGAATTAGTTTCTTGCTTAGTGTTTTATGTTTGCACCAGCAGAGAGCTGGCACAAGCACTCTCTTCTTTACTGTTTTGACAGAGACGAGATGAATCCTCAGGGGTAAACAAGGATGTGTGTGTTCAACAGTGTGCTCAATTACGGGTTAACAAAGTCTAACATTTCATGAAAAATGCCACTGCAAAGCTAATTCTTAGTTAATCAGATAAATGGTTTGCCTAGCATATTCCTATCCAGGAAAACAACAAACTAGAAGCATGAAGTCAGGTTTCGTGCCGACACGACCTGCTCTCTGGCCTTTGTGCTCTTGTCCTTCAATGTGCAACCATCCAACACTTTCTGTGTCCATTTCCATGCCGTCTCCTCTTCAGCTCCTGCAGCTTTGCCCATTGTGTGTGCACATTCTGTCCTGTTTTTTTTTTTGTATGCCAGGCAATGACAGAATGTCAGCTACTGTGGGTAAGAGAGGATAGACAGCAGAACCAAGATTGCTCCCCTCCAGTTTTCCTCCCAGTGAATGACTGCTGTCTTGTGATTACACCAGCAATCATCTCTCAACACAAAGAGATATGAATAGGGGCGCCGTAGCACCTTATTAACGCAACCCTGTAGTTTGATCTGATACGACATGCAGCGCATTCATATTCAAAAGAGACTTTTTTTTATGTTTTAACTGTTCCGAGCCATCTAATAGGTAGAAATAAAGTCGCAAAAGAGAAAAATGTGTTCTTTTCTCCCGAGTGCCAATTTCTGCTTCCAACAAGTACAGAGGACATGGCAGCACAAGCCATAATTTCCCATAATTCTGTTCCCTTTTAGAAGAACCAGGCCAAGAAAGTTCAGGAAACATGCTTTTATAATCCTCGTCTAGCACACCACTGCATGAGAACACACTCTGTGATCTGTATTATCACACTTACTGTGTATCTCCCTGCCACCTCATTCAAACTACATACAACTCTAACATGCCTTTTCCATACATATGACTGTAATGTCATGTGATCTCCAGATAACCAAGCTGCCACAGATTGTCCAAGATGGCCTGCTAGAGTTGTAAATTAGACTTGGAAAGTCAAAAAGCTACTTTGACGTCATTATTCAATATGGCTGCTGCGTTTATAAAACATAGAGTTGCAAGAATAAAATCCTTTTTTGCCCCTCACAACAATTTATATTATGTTATGCAGAGCCCCCAAGGAGACATGGAGGATTTTTTTTATGTACTGATCAGTTCATGCGGAATAATTGAACACTGTAAGCCTTTCTTACGGTGGCCATCGTGCTCTCTGCTATTATATAAGGTTTTCGTAAGGTTTTTCCATGTATATTAATATCTCGTTGCGAAATATCTGAAGCTTTATATCTTTTTCTTTAGGATAGAAATGCACCACAGTTATTATCTGAGTTATTATCGCGGGGTAATAAGTCGACTGTCAGTTTTGATTGTGTCTCTTTTGTGTTGGTCTGAATGGTTTAAAGGGCCGTTTTCATGCACACTTCCATCTCAACCTAACACAAGCAGACGTAAACACGCAGAGAATAAATCGATTTTCAATCAGACCAGCAAATGCAGTAAGCATATTGTGAGGAAACACAAAAGTTTTGCACGGTAACGTGAAAGAAAAAATTTCCCCACATGCCCCACAGTTCTGTACACTTGCTCTTCAGTGTCTGACAGAAATGCACAATATCTGCTTCAATTGATAAACTTTTTTGTGGTAGCAAAAATAATTTAGAAAAGGAGAAAACGACACGCACAGCACATACTCTTTGGAGGAAGAAACCAGAATCGAATTGAATACCTCTGCAGAAAAAAAAAAAAAAAAGATAATGGATGTGCTAATTTCAGTGAAATGTCACACAGCCAGTAGACAGCATGGTGCCAAGTAAAATGTTAAACCACAAGTAAAAGAGTTCTCCCTAAAGGTCACTTGAAGCACCGAAGTTAGCAATGTATAAAATGAATTTAAAGCACAAAATATGGACAAAAATACTTTCAGTAAAACTTCAGAGCAATACGCAACCAGGTTACCGCTGAAAATAATGCTAACCTTTTCATCAGATTGATGGACCATTAATTACTAAATGTTTTGAACACAAGGTTTTCAGTTTTACTGGATGAAATGATCAATACAATAGAATACAACAAATATGACAACGAATAGCTCTGTACAGCTTACAACAACTCTACACTGCCACTGTGGAGGAAGAAAGCAACAACAGTGAACAGAGCATTCTGAATATGCAACAATAAGGTGATCACGGCAGTAATAATAGGGCCACTATAAAGCAATAAAGTGTAATAATAGTAAACTTAAACGAATGTTTAAGAATGTTTTTAAAAGGTTTATTTATTTCAGTAACTCAGTTCACTGAGAGAAGCACATTACATAAATTAATTACACACAAATTGATGTTTTCAAGCCCTTATTTAATTTAATTATTTAATACATCAATCAATCCCTCAAGTTTATTTGAATAGCACATTTCAGCAGCAAGGCGGTTCAAGGTGCTTCACATAATGAAAACAGAAATATAGATACACTCATATTAAAGCATTTTTTTATAAACGAGACGTGGAAACGTTTGTCGGTTTGTGCTTAAGATTAATTTTGTAAGCAAGAGCAAGTCAAAACAGACTTACTAACTTTATAACTGACACAGCCAGCCTCATTTCATTTTAACAGCTCATTGTAGCTGATCTGGTTGTAATATCTTGAAGAGAAAGGTAGACATTTTCTGCCACATTGCAGCCCACTTAACACAAAGGATTAGGTCTTTCTTTTGTCAATAAATGGTTACTAACAGCTAACTACAGCTTTTAAGTGGATCTCAGAGGAAATGAGTCATCTCATTAAAAAAAAAACAACCTTTGGAGTGCTTGGATTAAGTATTTAACACACAAAAGAATAAGACGGAGAAGAACTGAGAAGAAATTCACAAACGGCATATTGGACACGCCTGACTCAGCCGTGCCTGAAAGCGCCGAGTTTCTACAAGTGGGTTTGTGTTCCAGCCATCGGCCACAGGCAGGACCTGATGTAGTCGCTGAAATTGTGAGATCAAGGACACAAGCAGCTGAAATGAGTTTTCCTCTGCTAACCCCGAAGGAAAACAGAGGCGAGGTCGTTTACGTGTTCATTGAGCACTTTATCAGGTATGTCAAACCATTACTGGCTGGGATCTCCCTTTGCTCTCTAAAAAGTGCCTTTTTTATAGGTTCTGCCACAAAAACCTTCAGGGTTCATGTTGATGTTATTGCATCATATAATTCCTGCAGACCCTGCAGCTGAATGGCGATGCTGCGCAGCTCCTGACACAGTTCTGACCTGTGGTAACCTGGCCGGGTCCAGAACAAATATGTTGCTCCTGAGAGCGTATTAATAGTTATTTAGTAGCTATTGAAGCCACTCCCACCCATTCCAGCCGTCTTTAGGACTCATTTTATGAATGACCCTAAACATTTCATCCATGTTTGAAAAATTTTCATTGCGGCTGAAATAAAACCTTTTCTCAAAGACGAGTCGGCCAGGTTCTCTCCTCACTCGGCATTGCAAAAGCTTGTTGGAAACTGTGGCAAATAAGAACGGCACCACCTGCTTTAAGCTTTAGGCTACCAGACCAGATAAGATACCCTTAAAAGGAAACTGAGATTTAAAATTGCTTTTGTATTTTCTGAGATTATGCTTGTTTAATGCAAACTTTTATTTGATGTAACTTAGGGTACAGTACCCCTAACACTATCACTATGCTTTAAGAAATATCCCTGGAGACAGACATCAGTCTACAATATATCACTGTGTATGGCAGTGAGATCATTTAATTCTTTTTTTAAAATCTTTTCTCACTACACAACCAGCTTAGTAAATGATATGCACAAGTAGCTGCACACAGGTGGTCCTTGGTGAAAGCCATCATGGCTACCTCTCCATGCAGGAGCAAATCAGTGGCCTCTAAAGCGGTGCAGCGACAAGTTGTTGTCAGAGATGCTTATCCGTTCCTAAAAAGCTGTGACAGGGTGCAGCTGTAAACAGTTTGCAGCTGAGCGCTCCTCAGTCAGCAGCCAAAGACGATCGCAGTTATCAAGCTTTTTCACAGAGGAAGCCTGTGTGATTACAGTTTGTGAGCAGAAAATATTGGAGAGGAGAAAATAGAAAGACTCGTGGCAGGAAAAGGCAATACTCATCCAAAAAAAAATAAAAAATGACGCTGAATACTAAATGTAGTTATTTTGAAACTGGGAGTATGTTTCTGGGATAAATAATTTGTAGGTGTTTATGACTAAAGAATTATTGAAATGATTACCTGTGTTAAAAATTGACTGTAATCATTTAAAAAGGACTTTTTGATTTCATTTCAAAATATCTAACCATGTTTGATTTGTCCAAGAGGCAACATTGCCCCCTTATGGATGTTTGAGACATTTCCAGATGGGAATGTTGATACATGGATGTGAAAATGTGTGTGGAAAAACTGCAGCTAGAATTTTTTGAATAAAAACCTTGAAGTAAGACTTGAGCAATGCAATGAACTTGCTAAATGTCTTCAAATGTTTTTGTTATTTGGAGTTTCTTGTAGAAACAAAAAGGAAGTGAGTACAAAGAAAGTATTTGTACATAAAAAAAATAACCCAAAACTAGCATATAATTACACCTCAATCAGCTTCTCACTGATCATTTTCTTTAACAAAAAAAAGAAGCAAAAATTAAGTAAAGTCACATGTTTTTAAGCCTCTCTGAACCTGGTGGTAGTTCCACCATCGCCACAAATCTCTTTCTTATTTCTGCAGTTATTTGCACACTTTTACTCACATTAATAACTCAGGCTTTCTACACAGTTTTAATTTTTCAAATATTTTACATACTCTGATGGCTTTTTAATGCACAGATACACATCATGCATATTTAAAAAAAAAATTATCCCACACAGTTACACGTCCCTTGGATCGGAGAATGGCCTTTCTGACAGTTTTTTAATATATTGTGATCTGCATAGTATAATATTCTTAATTTTGTATTTACTATTTTAAAATTTTTTTAACAAATTTTGATCTTTTTGTGATCAAAATTTGATGCATTGCACCTGAATTTCCCCTCTGTGGGACAGTAAAGTGTATTTTTGTTCTATTCTAATAAAATGTATAAGCAGAAATTAAGGTGTATTTCTGTTCACTGCGATCTGAGAATCCCAGTGATGGATTTATACAAAATACAGGAAGCTTATATGAAGCTTGTTTATTATTATTATTATTATTATTATTATTATTATTATTTGTGAAGCCAAGGTGATTTCCAAGGAGGAAAAAAAAAGTTCTGATTGTTTTCGAGGCTCTGTATCTCACACACACAGATTGTGTTCTCCTAAATTGTACAAGCAAATAATACAAATTTGAACAGAAGGTTAGAATAACAACCAGCTTGAATCTATTTCGAATCAGCCGTCCACACTTGGCTATTTTTGTAAAGCAACGTGTAACACGAGCTCACACCCGGCAAACACATTCTCCTTCACACAGAGAAAGACAGAGACTCAAACCAAAAGACAACTCTCTGTCTTTCTGTGTCCCACAACAAAGATTTCAGACGGGTTTTAACGCTTTGATCTTTCACTGAGTCCAAGGGGAACGACGAAGGAGGTCAGCTATGGAGTTTTTATTTCAGGCTTCGGGTGTTGTGATGTTCCCCTGCAGCTGTTGCGACTCTGTGTGTGTGTGTGAGAGCATGTGGATGAGCGTCAGCGTGTGGGGACTCTCCAGTACTTTCCAGCTTAAACCTTAAACCTTTGCCTGGTAAGTTACCAGCTCCGTCGTTTACTCCCATTTCTCTGAAAACCTTCAAAGTGCTGCTCGGAGGAGAAGTGAGGCAGGATTTCAAGTTACGGGACAAAGAGACAGGTACGATCATCTGCAAGTCGATTGAAAATAAAAATAAAAAATCAGGATTGCTGAGAAAGTAACACACAGATGTAGTTTAATATAGCAGGAAAAAATAGCTTAGATTAAAAAAAAAGTTTCAACTTATTACTGACTATACTGTGTATAACTGGGTTCAGGTCAGTTTAACCTCTTTACTGGGGAGCCACACAGATCATAGAGTTGTCTCATTTTCTAAAACATTTTCTATCCATTTATTCTCCACAGAAACGTTGCGATGACTCTCCAGTGGACCGCGGTGGCCTTCTTCCTGTATGCAGAGATCGTGTTCAACCTCATCCTGTGCATTCCCTTTATATCAGCACACAGGTACCAGAACATGCTACCATTAGATCAACACTTTACATGCAATTAGAGGCCTGTGTAGGTCATACTCTGCTGATCTACACTTTTGAGTCAAAGCGTGAACAATGCAGTTCTAGTAATTCTCCAGCTCATTGCATCTTTATTGTTTTAATGCATACTTGTTGTCTATTGTCTGACATTAAAGCAACACGCATTGTACCGTCCTTGCAGATGGCATGTAGTTTTCAAATGGAGAATCTGGAGCTGGTTATCTCCATACTGGAACAAGTTCTTCTTTGCGATGATAATGGCCCTTGTTGTTCTTTTTTGTGGTAAGGACTCGGCCGACAGAAAGCGGTCACATTCCTTCAATTTTCTCATACTTTGTGAGCTAATGACAAAAAGCCTGGCGTTCCTCATTATTTCATTCATCATTTCTCACATGTATTTGACACACCAAAATAAAGTCAAACGAAATTATGACACAGAATGGGAAGACAATGACCATGAATACATTTGTTTTCATCCTGTGAAATTGTCCATTGTAGCCAGTTTCTGAATCAGAAAAACATTGAATGCGTCCTGAAATTGGAGGTTTATGGCTGCATATATAATATAGTGTCTTTTTTTAAACCAGTGGCAGACATACAGTACTGCAGGATACTTTATTTGTTCACTGTTTGAATGTCTGATATGAAGGGAAATACATAAATATTGGCTTGTTTTGATCATAGCTTTTAACACCAACAGAATAGCAAATCCTACTATTTTCAGTTCCTACAGCAGGATTGCCCTCAACTTGAGTGTAATGTCAAAATTTCCAAATCAATCGCAACATTGATGCAGCTGTTCTGTGAAGACCTGCGAGGTTTAGTGAACAAACAACATTATGAAACATAAAGTTGTGGGCAATCTGAAAAGCAGGGTTATAAATTAAGAGTGTAAAGACATCGTAGTATATTCTAGCTATCTAAAAGTGAAAGCTCATCCCAATAATACATGGGTCATATAAACTCCAGGACAACTTAAAACAGCCCAGAAGTACAATAAGTTTGAATGGCCCAGTCAAAGTCCACAACGACAGCACATCCAACTGACAACCTGTGTCTGAAAATGAACTTTTAGAAACTCTGTAGAAAGAGCCTGAACTGTTGGACAAGGATGAACAGGATACTTTATGTTCCTGTATTGCATAAAACGTTTTAGGTCGTAATACGACAAAATGTGAAAAGTTTTGCATGAGTAAGCGATATCAGTAGGAACTCCTGCTCAACCTGCCCCGCCTGCTTTCTAACCTCAGACGCCATCCGAGACGTGCAGAAGTACTCTGGCCCTGAGCCTGTGCACGACGCTCAGGCCAGCCCGAACCTGTACGACCACGTCCACATGAAGCTGTTCAGGGCCCAGAGGAACCTTTACATCTGCGGCTTCTCTCTCTTTCTCTGGCTGTGAGTTCAGCGACTCCTGCCTACCCTGGTGACTAACGACATCCTGAGGTCCTGCTTTATCTGTGCAACATGCAGTCAATTTGCCTTTCTGCTCTGCAGCGTCATGCGCCGGATTGTCACTCTGCTAAACCAGATTGCTGAGACTTCGGTAAACACTGCTGGTCTTCAGGCACAGATGGATAATGCATTTAAAACAGCCGAGAGGCACCAGGAGGACAACCAGATTCTCAAAACAGTGAGAGCTAGTGATTTATATTTCTGCAGCGATACAAACCTGAAAAAAATTCAATATCTTGCATGCATTTCTTGTTCTGATTAAAAGTTTTGCAGAAGGCCTTCGTCATGTACAACTGATCTGAGATCTTCTTTTTTTTTATAGCTGATGTTTTTGCAGAGGTGGGTAAAATATCCATAAATTGTTCTGCATCAATATACTTTCCACTCAAGTAGACAAGAATATAAAAAACATGAAAGCATTCCAAGTTTTCAGCAACTGATTACAAGATCTGATTTAATTGCTGCAATCAGACATACAAACAATTTTTTTTCTTCAAATTTTAATATTTAAACTGAAAAAATACGTAAAGGACGGCTGTAGTTATAAGATAATGAATTCTCTTATCCAATGTAAAAATAAAAAAATAGCGATTTGTTATCTAAGGATGATCATGTTTGCTTAGGCTCTCCTGGAAAGAGAACAATCTTCGCTGAAAACAAATAATCAATTGAAGTTGGAGATTGAAAAGCTTCAAAGTCAACTAAAAGTTGCTGGGGAAGGTGAGTAGTCATTGCTTTAATTTGTTTAAATGAATTTAAAAACAAATCTAAACAGTCAAACTTCTGTATTTGCTAATTACTTGCTAAGGTTATATTTTTGTAAGTTTTGTGCCCAGTGACAAAACACACAAATGATTACATCCAGTAAAGATCAATGAACAATCACTGTTAAAGTAAAAACTAAACTCTTCCCTTGTACGATTATATTTTAGACACGCTAAATCTTCAAGAAATATTAGTTTTCCTACGTTCTTATTCTAAAACTTTCAGAGCAAATTTAAAATTAGACTTACTCTTCCCAAACAAGGATCAATTTTATTAAGCTGGATGAAAATTTAAGGTATTCTAAAGAGCGGATTAGTTTGCTTCCACCTTACGTCATCTCTAACAACTGGAGCAGAGATTTTTATGACTCTTTAGAAACGATTGACTGTTTTTGTGTCCAGCTGTGCGAAGGTCTGACGCTGAAGTTGAAGCCATGAAAAAACAGGCCAAAGGTCTGGCGCATGAATATGACAGACTACTAAGGGAGCATCATCTGCTGCAGGTACGCGGCACAAATTACAGAACATTTTCACCTCACTCACTGCCGTCATGTTTCGTTGATGACACCGTTTTCGATCCACAGAACCTCCAGAGTGCTGAGGATAAAAAAGATCAGTAATCACGTGGCTGTGACGAGACCTGGGTTTACCTCCACTCCGCTCACAGATGAGAACAGCAGACGCCATATGTCTCCGTCACAAATCTCTTCAGGTTTATTTTCTTCTGGAGGAGAATATTGTTTTATATACATGTAAAAGATTAAGAAAATTGTGTGTTATTTGTTGAATAAATAAAAGCCCGTTTTCCATTTTGTCTTGCTGGCCTGGCAACATTTCAGCACATATGCAAGAACATCTTAGAACCTAGAACCGGCTGGAAAAATGTTTTGAGAGTTTATTGCTGATTATGACTTTTTTAATAACTTATGAGACCCACAGATTCAAGATGTATTACTTAATAAAGACGTACAATAATGCCCCAAAACAGACCAAGAGACTCCAGACGTGAAGTGGATTTAAGAGTAGATACTTTGACTTTTACAAAAACACATACATTAGGGACATTTTGTGAGATTGTAACGTAGCATCTCCTGTATAAAGACAGAAGGACTCTCCTGCTATTTTTAAACCAATTCAAAAATGTTTTTCCTGTAATCGTTTATTGCAGGTAACCAGGAAAATCTGGAGTGGAGTTTCAGTGGAAGGAGCAGATTTCTTTTAAATATAAATATATCTAAATATAGCGTCGGCCACGTATTAAGGGATCGATTAATGTGACGTGAACTGGATTTAAAGAAACAGTGTTTAATATCCATTTCCTGTGTCATTCCACTAAAGCACACACAACTGAATTCATGAAATTATGTTGATTTTTGGGATTGTCAATGATACCTGGTGGGTGTTCCATGTCATCAAATGGTGACATATGCAAAACCTGTTTTTTACCCGTCGTATTAGACTTGCAGGAAGAGGTGTTGACAAAACTCCATGATCCAAAAAACAGACAATAAAAAAATAAGATCAGGGTGAAATTTCAAATTTAAAACAAAATGAGGCACAGCGGTGGCTACATGAGCTCTACACACAACACAGTACAACCAGAAAAATGAGGTAGGTTTTGTGGCAAAGAGCCTCATCGTTGCATTATTTGTTTAAAAGTAACACATTAGTTAGAACGCTTAAACTGTTGCCCTTGCAACTTACAGTGTAAGGTATGCAAGGCATTGCTAGAATCAACATATTCAGGACATACAGCAATTGTTTTCCCTTGCAGAGAACTTACATTTAAACTTTGCCTACAGAGATTTAAAAATGTCGTCCCGACGTACGCCGAAGAAATAATGCGAGTATACATATGAGCAAATACATGGACACGACGTTAACAAAGCAGCGTGTGACTACAGTTTTCTTATTCTATTAGCTGACATTACAACCAGGCTGAAAATAAAAGCAAAGATTTCTACAGAAAATATAGCACAACTGTTTTTTTTTTGTTTTGTTTTGTTTGTTTTTTCTAAATATTCCAGGTAACACATTTCTGCACAAATACCTGTCTGGTCTGAGATATATCTCGGCACATGTGTGGTGCATCAAGAGCCAGAGGAGAGGATGATGTGCAGGAGCTTACAAACGAGTCTCTCTTTCGGGATTGCAGTCAGGGCTCAGTATAAACTGCTCACAGTGCATGGAGCTGTTCTCGTCTTTCCTCAGCGACTCCAGTTCACCGTTTTGGTTGCTCAGAGCCTCCTTCTCCTCCCTTTTAATGTGTCTTTTGAGAAGAGCAAATCCCCAAACACAAAGGAAGAAGGAGACCGCCCTCAGACCGAGTGTGAGGCCCAGGTACACTATCCTGTGTTAAAAACAATATTGTTAGAGGACAGATTGCTCCGTAGTCTTTGGTGCATGTCTAAGTCAGGCTCCAAATCCCTAAGGGGAAAGTCATTGTTAAAATTCACACTTTCGTATTCATATTTTCAAGAAGCCTTCACTCCACTGCATTTTAATTAAAGGCACGCCGGTCGTCCTCTCGCAGCTGATAGGGCTCGGAATAAAGACGAGGTGGGATTACCGCCCTTTCAGCATTTTCTTAATTAGAAACAAACAGTTTGGCCCGTAATTAAAATCCACGCGGAGCTTACAGAGTGTGACAATTAAAAGGAATCCGGTCATATCTGTCTTTGCTCTCTCCCTGCCACACTAATCAAGAGTTCGCTCTCTGCTGAAGAGCATTCCCTTCAAAACAGGGAGGAAAAGTTAAGTTTCTACATTCATGAGGTGCTCTGGCTTTAAACCCCGATTTAAAGTGTTTTAAATTTGCAACAAATCACTAAACTTCAAACTGTTTTTCAGTTCCTGGAAACTATTTCATGTAGAAATTGCTTCTGCGCTTCAATACATCGCGTTCACATTACCTGTAAGATGAAGTGTTGTAAATTCTGCAAGCGCCTTTTCCTCCACATGTGCTGTATGCCCATTTGAGGCAGGTTGTATCTATTATGGCGCCAAAGTAGATGGGAGCGGGTATTCCTGCTGTTGTGCAAGATGAAGAAAACTTCGTTTATTCATCTGCTACTAATGAGGCTGTTTGATGTAGTTTACACTTACAGTTCAAAGCTAATAATAGCAAGTGCCAGTAGACTAAGCTTCCCTCATTAGACATGAGTCTTCTGTGATATTATCAAATAATGCACAGTATAAACGGTCATGAACGCTGTCATCAACTAAGGTTTGAGATTATATTACCAGTTCATTTCATGCTAATTAGTCGGGAGCATCCAGTAAAAGCTGGGTAATCAAAAGCTCTTACCCAGGGTGCGTGTGGCCAGTGTGTGGATTCCAAGAGCTAGGGATTTCAACTCAGGCTTTATGCACCTGTAAGCACATAACTAAACCCTTCAATATTTTTTATTTAATCACACTGAAAAATTTTTTCACAATATGCGTCGTTTATTACGTGCCTGACCAGAAGCATGAGGCCCGGCGTGCCCCCGAGAGAGATGACGAAGGAACTGAGGACAGACAGAGCCAGGAAGTACGGGAACACTCCGTCACAACTGCGTCTGGGTGAACACTGGCCTAAACTAGCCGTTATATTTCCTGGCTGGACATTAGTCACTGACACACACCTGCAGTTGTCAAAAACCTGACAGTGGGAGAAACAATCAATTCATAAATAAATAAAAAATCAATTAGCTATAGGTGATAGGACGGAAATGCTGCGTGTCCAACCATGTTTCTGCCAGAGCCTGAGGACGACGTGCATCCAGCTAAACAAGGAGAGATGTAGGTGATCCCATTCTCTCCACACACTGGGTCCCACTCCTTCGTCGAGCACAAGCAGCCGGAATTACAGTCAGAAAACAAAGACTGTTCCTGATAAGACAGGTCGTCCACTCTGTGAATGAGAACAGAACATGTACATGTCATTGTGCATTTTGTCTAGGAATACAGACAGAAACTCACAAGTGTTCTGGTACAAAACATGATATATGCCTTTTGATGCGTACAAAACTTGTTTTATAAGGACAAAACGTGTCTCCAAATGTCCGCACAGTTCTAACGAGGACCCGAATTAATGTCAAGAAAATCTCTAGTAATTTGTCTTTATCCTGGTACAACATGTTTACGATTGAAATACTTAATTCATTCTGACTTCATAGGTAGACTTAGCTGTGAATCATGTTCCTCCAACTGTATATTAAGTGTTTGCTCAGCTACTTAACTTTACTTGACCAAAGCGAAAATATGTTTTACACACAATAACGCCTAGGAAAACTCTTTACACAAGAAAATCCTGAGGCTATCAAACTGTCTGATCAAAAAACCTGATTTGTTTAATTCCAACAACACGTAATGTGCTGCGAATGATCGCAGGCATGACACAACAAAGAGACATTTATAAAAACAAAAAGTCTACAACCAAACCATATGAGAAAACGTGAATTATTTTGGTTACTGGTGCAGGACTTTCTCAAAAATACCGACCAAATCTCTCTAAACAGATTATTTTGTGTCAACATTCTCGCAGTGGATTTGCTAAAGCTATTCAAGAATGTCAGGGATAAAGTTGGGGTTTGTCTGGCCAACACTTCTGTCTCAAGAACAAAAACAGTCAGAGCAAAAAGTAAAAAGAAAACACATTCCAGAAGGTCACGTCTACATCGCCTTTGGAAATGCATTGCGGAAAATTTAAGCAAACAACGTTCCCACCTGCCTCTGCTCTCGTTAGGCTGATTATCCTTTAAGGCAACTGTATCCTGGTAACCGCGGCAACGGCAAACATGACTACTGACTTAAACCTTGCTTTGCTTTTGGCACTTGGAAGCAAAATCGGCCTATCCAGAAGTTATTTAACCTGGACACTTGAATACCTCACCAGGTATAAGGACAGCTTGAAAACATTCATTTAAAACCAAATTCCTATAACGATTACATACCCAGTATATGAAACTGTGATGCCAGCCACCTTCGAGTTCTCACAGCCCATGGCTAAGAATAGGAATGACAGAAAGAACCCCAACAGGGAAGTCCCAAAGGCAAATTTAGCTGCTCCCATGACGCCCAGTTTGAACTTCTTCATGACGACGCCTCCAGAAAACATCCCGAGGGCCACAGCTGGGATGTTGATCATGCCTAGCCAATCAAAGAAAAACCAACTCATTCTTAAAGGGAGAGAGGATCAGGAAAGAAGTTATATAAGGAGCATGTGCAGAAACTTCCCTTCCAAACAGAGATCAAAATAAGAAATTAGTCTCATACGTATTTCATTTAAACAGAGTTGAAGCCATTCATAAAAGATGTAAAATTGTCTTCTGATGGTGAAGAGGATGAATGTATTTCACACTGAACTTATAAATCTCCCACCCATGAACTCTGTGGGGACGAATGAGATCTATGTTTTTACACTGTTTTCAGCTGCAATGTATTGATTGTTTAAATGGCCTTAATAATCTGTGACGTTTGTCGCTAACAACAGAATACTAAGCGTTGTGCTAAATGTCGCTCTGTGAAGCTGCAGCACCTACTTCAAACATAGGTAGAGGTTGGATTATACAAATTGATCAAAAGATGCCCTACTAGAAAAAACAAAAGACGTACAACTTGCCGACTATATATATATGATTAAAAATGTCTAAATTTACTTACCCATAAGAAAATTGGCTTTTGAAGCCGACTGGCCGTAGTGCTGCTCAATGTATTTTGGTTTGTAGGTCACCATGCCGATGAGTGAGTTGAACTGGATGATGGTTACACCCAGGTAGATGATGTAGACAGGATTTCCAAGAAGTATCTTCAATGTTGGCACAAATTCTGTGAAGGAAAGTTTAAATTAATAAATGTCATTGTTTGCATGTCGAATTAAACATTAAAAATAGGTAACAATTAATAAATCTTTCTTAATAAGTTGCAAAATGTAGTGAAATGAGCTAATGAAATGAGATTTACCCTGCAGGGTAGAAGATAATGCCTCTATTTAAAGAGGCAATGCAACTCTTAATACTCCAGTAAGCGCATAAAGATACAAATCTGTCTACATCCAGAACATTCCCTTGTAAAACAATTAATACACAATGCATCCTTTGAAATTTGTCACACTGCGACCGCAAACATTGTTCTATTTTGTTGAGGTTTTATGTAATGTACCAGAACTTATTTTCATATTGGTCAAAATTATCCAGTTTAATTAGACTTTTTAGTCCACATACAAAATCCTGAGAGTGGAAGAAAACTAAGACTGCACATCAGAATGAACACACCTAAAAGCCAGAGTTACAATAGTTCGGTTCAGCTCATGTTCAAGGGTTAGAATGGTCTACTCAAAGTCCAGACCTAAAGCCAACATGAAAATTACTGCTCACAGATGCTCTCCATCCAACCTGACTGAACTTGAGCTATTTCCCAAAGACGAATGAGAGAATATTTCAGGCTCTATTTGTGCACAGCTTGTACAGATTCCCCCAAACTACTTGGAGTAGCAGCGGCAATAGAAGTATTGACCGATGGGAGACTTCAAACATTGAAGGCAGTGATTAGACATGGTTTGCAATGTCTAAAACATTGCAAAACATTTTTGTTTCCTTCTGTCTGTTAAATAAAATCTCAAAAGAATACATTGCAGTTTATGATTTTAAGGTGAAAAAAAAAAACACGTAGGTCACGGCGTAACCCTGTGAGGTTTGTTGTACCGTTGGCCATCATGTGTAAATTGGTTGGTTCCTCGGGTCTGATCTTGTGGTCCAGGGTTGGCGAATCTGCATCTTTGATAAACCTGGTCTGCTCTGGAGTACAGACACTATCATGTTTATCCACAGGTACTGGCAAAGACTTGGGCAGGAACCAGAAAGGAACGGCGGACAGGAGCGTGACAGTGCCAGCCACAAGGTAACCCAGCCACCACGCTCCTACCCAGCGGGCGTCGTCAGGGGTGATGGTGATTGTTTCTGTGAAAGGAGAAGCACACAGAGTTTGGTGGTGGA